AACAGGTTGCTTCAACAGGTTGTTTCAACAGGTTGGTTCAACAGGTTGACTCGACTGCACAGTGCAGTGTGAATGCAAACGCACCAGCTCAAATGTAACAAAAGGTCATGAATATTGGTCCCGAACCGAACGGAGTCTACCGGACTATCAGCTGTGAAAACAACCTTAGTCACTGATGAAAGGCAGCCAATAATGTTTTTATTTATTTGTTCTATATTAAAAACTGTTGAAATCCACTGGATGTTTTTAATGAAACTGACAAATTTGTCATTGGATGTCGGTTTAATCCAAGCCAGTTTCAATCAAAATGGCCGCCCCAGCCAAAGTGCCATTAGGATATAATGAACTGTCTCTGTCCCAGTCATGTTTTCTGGATACGGAGGTTCAGGTCGCTGTGGTAATAGCTGAGAGTTGCAATGAGGGTGTTCTTGTTTTATTTTTCTCCAGCCGGGCCTTTGATTTAAATGTTTTTATAGTTTTAATCATTTTAATTTCTTTAAAATCACTTTTTTTTCTCCAAGTTCTGACTTTAGTTGTTTTTTGGGAAACTGCTGGATTATTGACCTGGATTATTAAAAACATGTAAAAAAAAAAATCACAAGAGCCTGATTTATGTTTGGACAGTTTTTGTCCTGTTCAGCTCTGAATTGTCAAAAATAATAACGTCATCCAAACCATCCACATGCCTGCTAGATCCCATCCCAACCAGACTGTTTAAAGAGGTATTTCCACTAATTAATGTCCACATTTTGGATCTACTTAATTTGTCTTTAATGGATGGTTATGTACCACAGAGCTTTAAGGTTGCTGTAATTAAACCTTTACTTAAGAAGTCTGATCTTGATTCAGAAATCCTAGTCAACTATAGACCTATATCTAAAAAAGTTAAATCTGGTCCTCTGGACATTCAAAAAAACCCAAAACAAAGCAAAACAACAAAAAATGTAGAAACGTTTCGTCTCTCGTCCGAAAGACTTCTTCAGTCTGAGGTGCTGTATTCAGCTCAGTCTCTTAAATATCACCTTCTCAGAGTGGATCAACCAGTTT